AAATAAAAAATTAAAAACTTATGTGGAAAATATCTCTCATATTTTGGAAAGGAAAATTGAGACTTTGTCAATTAGCAGGAATAGACCCAGCTGAAATTGTCATACCTTTAACTAAGGAGGACATTGAAAAATTATGGATAGAAAGTGAACCTTGGCAAGGAGCTTGCAGTAATTTTGGGGGGAGAAATTAACAGCAAATATCCAAAAAGCAATAGAATTGATCTTATAAAAATAGCTGATTGGATCTTGCCTTGAATTGTATGGGAAAAACCCATATCTGGAGTTTGTATCTTTTATACAGATGCCAACAAACAAGGAAAGGCAGGTTACAAATCAGAAAATTTAAGTAAAGTGGTTCAAAGTCCTTATAATTCAGTTCAAAAATCAGAATTGTATGCTATTCTGTTGGTATTAGTGGATTTTTCAGAACCTCTCAACATAGTAACTGACTCTCAGTATGCTGAAAGAGTGGTATTACATATTGAGACTGCAGAATTTATCCCTGATGCTTCAGAATTAACTTCACTATTTATTCAATTACAAGATACAATCAGGAAAAGAAGTCATCCCTTATATATAATTCACATCAGATCCCATACTGGTCTGCCAGGCCCTCTAGCACAAGGCAATGATGAGATTGATAAATTATTGATAGGAAGTGAGCTGGAGGCCTCAGAATTTCATAAAAAAAAAACATCATGTCAATAGTAAAGGTTTAAAAAAGGATTTTTCCATAACCTGGCAACAAGCCAAAGAAATAGTAAAGAAATGTCATACTTGTTCCTTCTATAGTCAAACACCATTACCAGCAGGATGTAACCCAAAGGGTACTCAGAGGGATGAAATCTGGCAGATAGACTTGTTTCACTTTGCAGAATTTGGAAACTTGAAATATGTACACCACACCATCAATACTTATTCAGGATTTCAATGGGCAACTTCTTTGAGTTCTGAAAAATATGATTCTGTAATCACTCATTTGCTAGAAGTTATGGCCATCATGAGTATACCTGAACAAATCAAAACTGACAATTCTCCATCATATGTCTCTGTTAAAATGAAAGAGTTTTTTGCTTATTACAATATAAGCATATTACAGGTATACCACATAATCCTACAGGTCAAGCAGTTATAGAACGTTCAAACAGAACTCTAAAGGATATGCTAAATAAACAGAAAGGGGTAACAAAACCCCCCAGAAATAGACTGCATAATGCTCTATTAACTTTGAATTTTCTGAATGCCAATGAGAAAGGAACAACAGCTGCAGAGAGACATTGGATAATAGAAAAAACTACAGAATTAAATCAGCCTATATACTTTAAGGATGTGCTGACCTCAGAATGGAAACCAGGGTATGTATTACATTGGGGACGAGGTTTTGCTTTTGCATCTACAGGAGAAGATAAGCTGTGTGTACCATCAAAATTGATAAAGGTTGGATTTGAACAAGAGAGACCTCTTAATTAGAGGAGGTGATAGTTCATTAACCAGCATGAACACACAATTTAAACTAACTTACACCAGTAACACATGTTTTTTCATTTAATCAGATAATAACTTGCCAAAAAGGAACATCCCCAAAATTAGTCTTGGGGAAAGGTTTTTGTTTTTGTCTTTTAGGAGAATTAAGGTTAAGGAATCAGAAGAAGACTGGACAAATGAGACAACTGAAGAAAGGGGACAAATCATCTATCTCAGGAAACAGAGTGAAATGGTGTATGGGTATATATTATCAAAAAAAAGTTTATGTCTTCCTAAATGTTTGTTTCTGCTTTTCTCTAAAGATTTAACACTCTTGGTTTTCTAATAGTCCCAGTTCAATTAAAATTTAAAGCTGATTTTGGAGTTGGAGAATGGCTGTCTCTTTCTTTAAACTCAAACATATTGTTAAAAGGAAAATGCAAACTTCCAGTATCATGTCAGAATAAAAGAGCCATCTTCTGCGATGGGACAGGACAAAAGCCAAATTAATTAAGGGACTATTCTATTACTAATCTCAACTCTTTGATTCTATTCTGATTCTTTAAACTTTTCTTAAAGTATAAATTTTATATCTAAATTTACAAGATATATATAGAGAGATATATAGATATATATACATTTTAAACTTTATTATGATATGAATGGTCATATAGAGTACTAACTAGTTCTAGAAAAAAGGCTTCAATTAGCTGCTTATATATGTCTTTTTTTTCTGAGTCTCTTATAAGTTATCTGCGGGAAATCACGGCCAGGCCTAACATCAACTGAAGTCTCCGGAAAGAAGATGGGGCCCCACAACAACAACAATTCCACATGGACAATAATAATATTATTAAGCTGACAAAAATCATAGATCAGCTGAATAAGGACTTGAGATAAACCCTGAACTTTGGCATTATACACAGACTGGATAATGAAGGATATAGTTACCTTTCCTAGAATTTGACAATTAACCTAAAATTTTTCTTTCAGAATAAAGATAACTTCACCCATACCCAGCAGGAAGCAATTTTAAGAATACAACGCACACATTCCCAAAGAGGTGGTGTGGGGCGGGTGGCGGGTGGTTTTTTTTTTTTTTTTTTTTTTGGTCTTTTTAATGGGTTTTGTGTCTGGGATAATTTTCATTGCTTATGGATGTTGGTTACAAGTTGTTGTCAAGGGTTACGAAAAAGGATAAGCAAATGAGATTAGATTTAAGGTTCTTGTTTTAAAAAAGGAAAGGAAGAAAAGAAGAAAAAGACAATTACTAGTTTTAAATACTTTACATTGGATTGGATTGTTTTATATTGTATACAAATTTGAAATTGATATTGTTAGAAAATGTTATATATATATATTTCTAATCATACTTATACTGTTCATTTAACAATGCAATTTTCTGATCTTTGAATGTTATTCTTACCAATTATTAGTATATAAAGAAATGAAAGTTAGTAGTTAGACATTACAATAGAACTTGTAGTCATATTAGATATGTTTTAAAAATTGAGCAGATATATTTTTAGACAGGTCATCTTCAAACCCTTCAGAGATCTATAGAATATAGCATTTAAAATGTTTTAATAACTTAGAATTTTTTTCTTTTTTGAGACATGTCGGCTTCTGGCAGTACCAATCTACTTCAGAGAAAATATGGGAGCTGAAATTGAAGTTCAGTCTGATTGGTTGTAAACCCAAACACGTGACTGCCTCATCAATGCCTGTAAGTACAGCCCTCCAGGTCTTAAAGACATGTTGAAGAAACTGCATATGGAGTTAACTTTCATTGTGGCAAAAGTCAGCCACTGGACAATAAAGTATCCTCGAGTCAACAGGACAAAATGGACAGACAGGACATGAAACAAAGGACTACTGATTCTTGCCAAAACAACTGTGGTTATGGCTTTATCAAAAGGCATCTTCTGAGGCCAGGACAATTTGGCACCATCCCTGAAGTGGCCTTCACAATTTGGAAAAGGTACAGTGCCCTTTTCTTTGAAGGCAGCTGAACAGGCAGTGGGCCAATGGCTTCTGATGTGCAATGGAACAGCAGCTGAAACAGTTATTCTTGAAAAGTAACTAAGCTCACGCTTCTCAATAGTAGATTGGCATTTAATAGAGGGATGTGGAGAAGAATGGGATGCTGAGATGAAGCCATATATACACAGCCAAGAAGAATGGACAGCTGAATACAAAAACCATCAACAATTTCCAGAATTTAAAATCCTAAATCATGACATGACACTAGTGGAATTCAGGTGTTTCTGGTACATGGACTGCTCTCACCCAATGTGAGGTTGACCTGTTGACCTTGTGTACATCCTACTTCACAAATGAATCTGTCAGATACGCTAAGCCTATAGGCTGAAGATGATGCCCTAACAGTGCGGAGAAACCTCAGGTGACTGTCCAGACAGCTGACTGTTTCTTTCAACTCAGAAATTTTTGGTAGTTTCTGCATGCACTTCCTGTTTTTATTTTTGTTAGCTAATATTATTTCCTTCTTGAGTCTCTGAGGGAGTTGAAGATTAGTTAGTTATAGTTGAAGGTTAGTTAGTTATAGTTGAATATTAATTAGGATAGAAAGTGAATTCGATACGTTCTGGACTTACCAAAATAGGATAAATAATGGAATTATTTTCTCTGATTTGTCAAATACAAATGGACTAGACATTGTTTAGATATTTATTACTTGTATATATTGTGTATAGTTATTGTACTTTTGTATATAGTTTTTCTTTTGTTAGTTATACCCTTTTTCTTTTTTTTCTTTTTATTAAAATAGAAAAGGGGAAATATGGTGGTATTTTATTTGTACTGAAATGTGATTTTAATTGTATGTTAATAAATAAAGTTGCCCAGGGGTCAGAGCCATAAGCATGCCATAGGAAAGCAGGGTGGTGGTGGTGTATGCTTATAATCCTAGCACTTGGTAGACAGAGCTAGGTAAGTCTCTTTGTGTTCAGGGATACAGCCAGCATTGGAGACATATGCTTTTAAGACCTGGGCGGCTGTACATACAGACCTTAATGAGGCAGTCACGTGTTTGGGTTTACAACCACTGAGAAGGCAGAACAAAAAGACTATATAAAGACAAACACACAGGAAGTAGCTCCTTTTTGGAGAGGTCTCTTCGCCAGCTGCAGCAGGTGGGTAAGGCTCTTAGCTCTAATCTCTTGGCTTTCTTCTTTGCCTTGGTTCTGTGTTTCTTATTTAATAAGACAGTTGGTTACATCTACAATAGCAATCATGGAAAGTTCCTCCACCTTGATAGTTGAATCTTCAGGAGGGTCTAAACCTGCTGCTAGGTACATATAAACTTCCACAGTTCCTGCCTGGTTAGAGAACTTTTCTCCTCATGGAATCTTCACGGGATCTTTGCAGTCCTGATATGAGGCCATAATAGTCCTAGAAACCATGACTGACATCTTTAAAAGAGGATTTATGGCTAACTGTGGAATAACATGAAGACTTACAAATTAGACTATGAAATTGATTGGCCTTCCTTTCATGTTGCCTGGGCATCCAAAGGAGCTCTAGATTTGACTCTAATTAACAGACTCTGAGAGGTCTGTATAGAACCACCTGACTAAACAGACCAGATTCCATACATTGAGTGATGAAGTCTGTTGGCCCAAGACCTTGTGGGATGGCTTTGCTACTAGAACCTTCCCAGCCCCAAACCATATTGGCTGTAAATACCCCCATTAACTTCCCAGGGATGAAATTTTGCCCATGATGCTATGCTGTGGGATGTCCTGTATGTTGTGAATATCTGTTGCTATGATTGATTGATAAATAAAAAACTGATTGGCCAGTAGCCAGGTAGGAAGTATAGGTGGGACTAGCAGAGAGGAGAATTGGGGGAATAGGAAGGTGGAGTGGGGAGACACTAGCCTACCATCCAGGGAGCATCATGTAAAGGCAGCAGATAGAGCCACAGAACATGTGGCGACATATAGATTAACAGAAATGGGCTGAGTATAAGAGTAAGAGCTAGACAATGGTAGGCCTGAGCTAATGGCAGAGCAGTTTAAAGAATATAAGCATCTATATGTTTATTTTATAAGTGGGCTATGGGACTGTCAGGGTTTGGTGAGACCCTGAGAGAAAAAAAACTACAAATGGCACCCAATGGGTTGGCAAGAGTTTCTACCTAAAACCTAAGAAAAATGATTCTAAAATGGAGCTTAAAACAGCTTCCTAGTTATCTCTCTCAAGTTAGCATCAGCCTGCGGGTTTGAGCTACTGTGGTGGTTCCTGGCATGTGAGCTTGACTGGCAGTATGGTGGGAATTAGGCATCTACAAGCACATTGTGCTGTGTGGTGGATTTAGTCTTTGCTAGTACAAAAAAAAAGAGGTTTCTGGGCTACACGCTGCTTTGATAGAAGCATAGAACCACTGTTTCTAAGAATTGATGGCTCCCAGTGCTGGCAGTAAACCTACCATCACCATGTTGTGAAGCTGAGGTAGGTGGAGCCACCAGCCAAAACTACTAGCCCTAGTAATGCTGCAGTTTAAAACAATAGATTCACAACAAAACAGATTCAGATGAAACAAGACTTTAAATGCTTTAAAATGTGTTTAAAAATGTATGTAGGCTTGGAAGAAAGAGAAAAAGAAATATATACAGTAATATAAAGAAATAGTTTTTAAAAATAAAGTCTTTAAAGAGACAGTAAAGGTAGTATAAAAATAAGCCACGTAAAGATGGATATCACACAGAAAATCTGGATTGTGTTGTCTTTTGGATTTTAAACTGCAGAAAAACATTTGATTGTAAAAGCTGTTGAGTTAAGCCAATATGTATATTTTAAAGATACCTTGACTTCAAAATTTGGATCTAAGGATATATTGCTTTGGAAATAAGGCTCTGCTTTTGTTTCCACAGAAAGCCAGAAGCTATGGATTTGTTCCAGATTAAGATACACCAGGTTTGACCAGCCAAGACTCCCTGAAAGGTCTCTGATGACACCATGGCCCAGATGATCCAACATCCATTATGGTTTCAAGGCAACTGGCTCAGATGTTACACCTTCATGAACTACTCCATAATTCTAAAATTTTCTTTATGTCCCCATAAGATACAACACCCCCTCCAGCAGGAAGTAATGAGATGCTACACCCAAATTCCCAAATATACCAAGCTGGTTTTGGAGGTGGAATTGGCTCACATCTTCTCTAAACCCAAACATATTACAAAAAAAGCTAAGAGATTCTTTTATCCCATATCAGAAGAGCTCTCTGTTGTGGGACAGAGAAAAACCAATATTTTTATTTAAATCAGGTTGATTATAAATGCAATCTCTTTCTAAAAAAGAAAAGGGGATATGATATAGATATAGTAGGATGAAAGTGTAGATTAATGAACCTACTTTTAAAGAGCAACAACTTGTTTGAAATGTTTTACATTGGTATAGATTTTAGTTTATTGATACAAGTTTAAAGTTAATTTTGCTATAATGTATGTATATTTCTACTCTTGTTTAAGGTATTATGTTTGTATAGCTCATTTAAAATTGTAATGGATAATTAAAAATACATTAATAATTAGTCATCCATGATAATCATACTTGTAGCCATGTTAGTTAAGTCTTCTAGGTATATGTAGATATATTTCAGATAGATAGGTAATCTTCAAACACTTCAAAAACCTACAAGATATGACTTTTAAAATGTTTTAAAAATTTAGACTTTCTGGACAGTGAGACATGTCTGCTCTTGGCAGCACCGCATTTACTTCAGAGAGGAGGATGGGCATCGAAGACACTCTATGTGGAGTTTGTCTTCTTCTTGGCAAAAATAGCCATTTGGGCAAGAAACTGTTCTTGCCTAGACTGTTTCATCAACTGGACATGCAGGACCCATAGAAAGGTGGCCACTGAACTTTGCTTGGCGAAGTAGTCCTTCATATTCCTGCTCTGCAGAGGAAGCTGCCAGACATTCTACAGGACACTGAGAGAAGTGACTGAGAGACTCTAGGCCTGTGGGCTGAAAACAGATGCCCCAACTTTACAAAAGAACTTTGGATGACTGTCCAGGCTGCCAGCTGTCTCTGTCTACTTTTGCAAGACTCTCAAAAGTTGCTTGTGTCCTTCTCCCATTTTTCAGGTAATATTATATCCTTCTGAGGTCTTTGATGTAGTTGAAGACTAGATAGTTATAATTTCTTTAGTTATGATAAGATATAAGTTACATATGAAACCTTAGACTCACAAATATAGGATAGATAGGATATCTTCTTTAACATTGTAACTGTAATTCTTGCTTGATATTGGTTTTGTTATATGTAATTTTACTATGTTAAAGTTAAAATCTTCCTTTTTAAAAAAACAGAAAAAGGGAAGTGCTGCGGGATATCCTGTATGTTGTGAATATCTGTTGCTATGATTGATTGATAAATAAAACACTGATTGGCCAGTAGCCAGGTAGGAAGTATAAGTGGGACTAGCAGAGAGGGGAACTGAGGGAACAGGAAGGCAGAGAGGGGAAACACCAGCCTGCCATCCAGGGAGCATCATGTAAAGGCAGCAGGTAAAGCCACAGAACATGTGACAACATATAGGTTAAAAGAAATAGGTTATAAGAATAAGAGCTAGACAATGGTAGGCCTGAGCTAATGGCAGAACAGTTTAAAGAATATAAGTATCTGTATGTTTATTTTATAAGTGGGCTACAGGACTGCCGGGGCTTGGCGGGACCCTAAGAGAAAAACTCAAGCTACATTGCTACCTTACTATAGGATCCAAGGCAGTCACAAGACCACCTGATACTTTCCTTTCCACAGTATCTGATATGATGCAATGTTTAACAACCTCATCCAGCTGGTTAGCTCTGCCAGACTCTGGTTCTTGCATTCCAGGGATGAGCCCATTTCCAATGTGTCAGCTAAGGGAAATGCCAGGCTCTCTCCTCATCCAAGAAAACTTCAGGTATGTTATCTGGTCACATACTTTCCTAAAATGGAGAGAGAGCCCCTCTACATTATAAAGAAATTATAAAAGAGATTTTCTCCTCATGGCCTGACCTTAGGGATGAGCTGCTCCTCAATTACTGATGGGAGTGCGGGAACCAACAGTGACTCCATTTTGAATCTGACTCTTGACTTACACATCAAGAGAGTTCAAGTTTGTTTGCTCCTTTAGTGTTGGAATCCATGAGAATATCTTCATTAAGCCCATGGGAAAAACTTATTATCTAGCTAAATATGCAATTATAAGCTGCTGATGCTTGTAGGAGGTACATTGTGGGAGATAATGAAACTCCCTGTTCCTTGACTCAAGGACAGAATGGAGATGTGAGTGTCAGCATTGCTCTCCTTCTGCCTTTTAGTTTGTAAAAGCAGGCTGAGAAACAAACTTATTATCTCCCTTGTTTTTCTTTAATCCTCACACCTCTACTCAGGTACCCTAGTTGACTCTTTGGCTGGGTCTGACAAGTGGTGCCCAAATGTGGGGGCTGAATGCAGGAGATTCAGTGAAGGACACTGAAAGTGAATAGAGCACTTGGAAAAAGTGGAAGTGCGGTGAGTAATTCGGGAGTAAGTGTTAAAATACATTTCAAGGAAATAATAGATAGCTATTTGTACATTTACTTAAAGGTGTTTTAAAGGTTAGGATTACTAAATAAGGACATCAACAACTACATAAGTTTTTAGAATTTATAGAGAATATTTGTCCTTGGCTTCCTGAGTGAGGAACCTTGGATACATATACTTGGGGGCATATTGGAGTCAAAATACAGTGGTATTATGATGAGCATGGTCCAGAAAAAACTGCAATAAGTCCTTTAATCTCTGGATGCTTCTTTGGGACAGCTTAGACCTTTGTCTTGAAGACAAAAATTATTTCCTAAATCAAGAAAAACTGAAACTAAACCTTCTGCTCCACCAAAGACACTCCCACAAAGTTTTCTGATGATGAACAATTGGATTCTGGTGATGAGCCAAAATGAGGGGAAGAGGCTACTAAGAATCATAGTGAAGATTTTCCTTCACCCTGCTCCTGACTATGAATGTTGAACAGCAGCTGTGTGAAGAAGTTAGGGAGGAATTGAGGGGGTTGAGATATTTAGTAGCCTTCTTGAGTAAGAAGTTGGAAACACTACAAATTTCTTCCTCGTGAAGAAGCACCCCTTTTC